AGCGGTTTGCATGTATAGACGCTATTAAAGTTAATTCAAAATAACGGCTGTTATTTTGAATTAACTTTGCAGTGTAGACATACCCTTAGATTTAAAGAAAACCAATTTGTAGAACACTGGTTCTGTCTCAGGAGAATTGAACCTGAGCACTCTCAATCTCCCCTACCATCAAGGACACGTGAGGATACTTAGTACCTTGCAGGATCGATCCCAGGTTGTCTAATTAGATCACTCATTAATGCTAATTACTTGCACATATTAATATGAAAGAAAATTTCAGTAACATCAATAATTAACTACTACATATTTGAGAGAGTTTGAGAGTGAGTGAGGGTACATAAGAACATAACATAAGAAAGGACGTAATGGGTCAGACCAAAGGTCCATCTAGCCCAGTATCCTGTCTACCGACAGTGGCCAGCACCAGGTGCCCCAGAGAGGGTGGACCGAAGACATTGATCAAGCAATTTGTCTCCTGCCATCCCTCTCCAACCTCTGACAGAGGACAAGGACACCATTTTATCCCCTGACTAATAGCCTTTTATGGACCTAACCTCCATGAAATTATCTAGTTTCTCTTTAAACTCTATTATAGTCCTAACCTTCACAGCCTCCTCTGGCAAGGAGTTCCACAGGTTGACTACACGCTGGGTGAAGAAGAACTTTCTTTTATTAGTTTTAAACCTGCTCCCCATTAATTTCATTTGGTGTCCTCTAGTTCTTCTATTTAGGGAATTAATAAATAACTTTTCTTTATCGGCCCTCTCCACACCACTCATAATTTTATATACCTCTATCATATCGCCCCTCAGTCTCCTCTTTTCTAAACTGAAAAGTCCCAGTCGCTTTAACCTCTCCTCATATGGGACCCGTTCCAAACCCCTAATCATTTTAGTTGCCCTTTTCCGAACCCTTTCCAAGGCCAAAATATCTTTTTTGAGGTGAGGAGACCACATCTGTACACAGTATTCAAGATGTGGGCATACCATAGTTTTATACAGGGGCAGTAAGATATTCTGGGTCTTATTTTCTATCCCTTTCCTAATAATTCCTAGCATCCTATTTGCCTTTTTGACCACCGCTGCACACTGCGTGGAAGTTCTCAGAGAACTGTCCACGATAACGCCAAGATCTCTTTCCTGATTTGTCATAGCCAAATTAGCCCCCATCATACTGTACGTATAGTTGGGGTTATTTTTCCCAATGTGCATTACTTTACACTTCTTGGAGTCCCTCACAGTCTGCTTCTGTCTTGACTATCCTAAACAGTTTGGTATCATCTGCAAACTTTACTACCTCACTGCTTACCCCTTTCTCCAGATCATTTATGAATAAGTTGAAAAGGATTGGTCCCAGGACTGACCCTTGGGGGACACCACTAGTTACCCCTCTCCAATCTGAAAATTTACCATTTATTCCTACCCTTTGTTTCCTGTCTTTTAACCAGTTCTCAATCCAAGAAGGGACCTTCCCTCTTATGACCATGTAAATTACACAAGAGCCTTTGGTGAGGGACCTTGTCAAAGGCTTTCTGAAAATCCAAGTATACTATAGCTACTGGATCCCCCTTGTCCGCATGTTTGTTAACCCCTTCAAAGAACTCTAACAGATTAGTAAGACAGGATTTCCCTTTACAGAAACCATGTTGACTTTTGTCCAACAAATTATGTTCTTCTACATGCTTCACAATTTTATTTTTTACTATTAAATTAATGGAGATTGCCTATCTCCTAGAACTGGAAGGGACCTTGAAGGTCATTGAGTCCCGCCCCCTGCCTTCACAGCAGGACCAAGTACCATCCCTGACAAACTTTTGCCCCAAATCCCTAAACGGCCTCTACAAAGATTGAACTCACAACCCTGGGTTTAGCAGGCCAATGCTCAAACCACTGAGCTATCCCGCAAATTGTTTTGACTAATTTGCCTGGTACTGAAGTTAGACTTACCGGTCTGTAATTGCCAGGATCGCCTCTACAGCCCTTTTTAAATATTGGTGTCACGTTGGCTACCTTTCAGTCATTAGGTACGGAAGCCGATTTAAAGGATAGGTTACAAACCACAGATAATAGCTCAGCAATTTCCCATTTGAGTTCTTTTAGAACGCTTGGATGAATGCCATCCGGTCCCGGAGATTTGTTAACATTAAGTTTTTCTATTTGTTCCAAAACCTCCTCTAATGACACTTAGGGTGGAGGGTGTCTCTACACAGGACCCTAAATTTGAAAAAAAATCCATTTTGAAATAGCTTATTTAGAAATTTGGCACGTCTCCACAGCACCAAATTTCGAAATTATGTGCTATTTTGAGCCAATCTTTATCCCTCACGCAACGAGGTTTACTAGAATGCCAATATAGTGCATCTATTATTTTGAAAAATACTTTGAAATACGGGGTAGCCGTGCAATATAGATGTACTCTGAGTGAGCAAGCGTGTCTGTTCAAGAACTCCTTCTGAATGGTATGAATTAAGACTACCAAATTTGGTATGCAGCTTCCTTTCATTATAACTTAAAGTAATGTAAGGGTTTGAGTCTGCCAGTACACTGGGATTATCTGGAATGCGATTGTTTCTCATAAAATGAAAACAGATGACTCTGCTAGCTGGGATATAATGACCAAAGAGGAACTGCAAAGGGCCAGACATAGGGAATGGGACAGCTATAATCCCACTAGGGCAGCAGGGGGCAGAAGCAAAGAAAGGGATAGTAGATAGCTGTATATTTGATAGAGTGAGTGTACGTGTGTGCATTTGTCTGTCTATCTAGTGCAGCTGGGGGACAAGATCCTCTCCCCCAGATGTGCCCACTGCAGCTACAGCAGCCATGGACTGGCTCTCCTCACCTGGTCCCAAGCTGTTGAGGTGAAAAAGGACTAGTGTTGTTCTCTCTCCCCGGGGCCTGTATACTAAATTCCTCATCCCCAGCCCCACCTGAGCCTCCTCTATCAGAGGCAGCAACGCTAAGGGTGGAGGGGTAGCGGAGGCTGCTCTGGCAGTAGCACCTGATCACAGGCAGCCCAGCTCAGTCCTGGCTTGTACCAGGTTCAGGAGCTACCCCCACTGCAGCTCTGCAGTTTAAATGTAGTAGGAGCCAGGTGTGCAGGCAACCTGGCTCCTACTACATTTAAACTGCAGAGGCACAGCATAGGTAGACTCGACATGAGCCAGGACTGAGCCAGGCTGCCTGTGGTCAGGCGCTGCTGCCAGCGCAGCTCCCCTGCCTCCCCAACCCCAGCACTGCTACCTCTATGAGAGGCAGCAGCAAAGGGGTGGAGGAGCAGGAGGTATCATGGAGACGGTGCTGGGAGGAAACCAGCTTTCAAACCAGCTCCCCAAAGCACTGGCTCCTGCTTCCCGCCGCCTGGCTACCTCTGATACAGACAGCATAGGGAAATGTGAGTAGTCAACTCAACTACCTGACAAGCCTAGGCTTATTGGATAGTTGGCTACTTACTTACATCCCTAACTGTGGGTATGTAATATATAGTAAACAATATTTCAAAACCAACAAACAAAGACCTACTCAGCAAATTTAGAATGACAATTCCTTCTCCAGACTATGCATATCAGACACAGCTGACGTTTACTCTGAAAGAATAATGCTGTGAGTCTCTCCAGACAAGCGTTTAGAGAACATTTTACCAACTACAGTGACATTATATATCATAGATCCCTAATGGGTCAAGGAACTTTTATTAAACATCTTAATGTTAAAAAGCAGGAGTTTAACCTAAGTAAATACTTCATTGTGCTACAATACCTTTCTTTAAAAACTTGAAGCCCGCGGACCAATCCTTCCAGACAAAGAAGATCATATCGGTTAGCAGGAACATCAATTTTATAGAGAATGATATCTGATGCACCCTCTGCCTTTCCATCACCTTGTTCTTTGCTTATTATGTCCTTCTCAGACGTCTACAAATAAATAAAAACCAAGTCACTGATAATGAAGTAAATTAATATAAAGGATGCTTTGAAAAACAGCATACTTTTAAATCTAAAATAAATTAGTATTCATTAATAAATTTAGTTTAAAGAGCATAATGTGGATTTATACATGAAATGGCTGTTTAAAGCACCAAAAATTGTACTAACTGAAGTCATCTCTTAAATCTAGAAGTCTTAATATGCTAATACACTGCAAAGATGTTGGTGCCAGAGCTAGAAAACGAACTTGCGGAAGCAAGACCTTAACCTCTACTTTTCAGTCAAAATATGAAATACCCAAACCACTAAGCTTTTGCAGTAGTTCTACACCCTTCCAGAAAAAGATAAAACCAAAGTAGAGTTTGCAAAAAATCTGCAACACACAACTTGTAACTGGGATACCAACATTAGAAGTTCTTAGCCACTGCAGAACAGCAGTGTCTCTGGGTTATTTACACTCCTTATGATGTTCAGTGAAAAGGATCTTTTACTGTTGATGGGCAGCTAACCTGCCAAAGACAAAGGAGACTGGCCTCCTCTATCAAAACAGAACTCCAATCAATCCCCCACAGCCAAAGAGTGACAAATGTAAATGTGACAAATGACAACAATACTTACAACTTCATCAAGTTCCAAACCAAACTCAAAACAAAGTTCATCAAATTCTTCATCAGCTAGGAAGAAAAGAAATTTCACCCATTAATTCTGGTTTCCAATACAAAGATCTCAGACTTCTGAAGATAACTTTAAAAAAGTACTGAATAGAATATTAAATACTATTTACAAGGAGAGAAAGAGGGTGTATCACTGAGAATGTTATTACTTTTATTTTAATATCAATTTCTGCTATACATATAGTACTTAATGATTTGTGAAATGCATAGCAAACAAAATATTTAGCACACACTATACCATTTTGTATTGAATATAACTTGTTGCACCAGTAGCTTTTTTCAGGCTAGCCTCCACATTGTATAACAGAACAGGAGACATCACATCAGCAAAACAACAGCCAAGTCTATGAGAAGCAGTGCACTTGTTACAACAAATACTTTCTTATTCAGTCAGCTGAGCATAAATTAAGATGCATGACCCACGTTATGATATGTGGAGATGTCTGATTTGCCACACAATTTGGGGGACAAGGAAAGGCTGGATGAAAAGGCAATCTGGCTAAATAGACTTATCTGCCAGGTCTGTATTTCTGAACCCATCAATTATTACAATGAAGAACACAATTCAGAAAAACTTCCTTTCCTAGTACACTGTTCTAAAGTTAGACTGCAGTGTTTAACGATATACCTGTATTGCAAATAGCAGGTATGTATACACAGGACCTGAAAAGCTCATCAAGCCATGCCAAGCAAGCTTTCCCAGGCAAATGCTGTGCACTTCTGAAGAACTCAAGCCTTACGTCCGTGCAAACACATTTCCCGATGGGAATTCTGTGTAAAGTTATCGCAGTGACGCCCAAGTCCGCACACAGACAACTCCACACTGCACAAACTGCGCCGCGCGGATTTCCCCAATGAAATCGGCCCAGAGTCTTGTCAGTTTCCCGACTGGCCGCTATGACACCCAGCACCATCGGATCGGCAGCATCTTGCTGCTCCCGGGGCAGGCCCTGAGCAAGAGCAAAGGCAGACCCCGCAGATGGTGCTCGGCGGGCAGCAGCCCCCGGACACACGGGCTGGAAGACAAGTCAGTCCCCAGCGGCAGCGGCCTGAAAGCTGGTGACAGGCCAAAGCGGCAGAGCCACCCCCTCCCCCTAGCTTCTGCCCAGCGCCCGCCCG